GCAATCGGAAACAGAATCACATGGGTCGATGGAAGCTTTGCAAAACTGCAAGATTAATTAGACGAAAACCCATAATCTGGGTAGGGGCAGCGGCACGATTGGGAACAGAGCTTGCCGACACGCTTCCCATCTTGACTTGTAAGGCTAGCCCCAGTGTTGTAGCGAGCTTGGTAATGGGGGAGAATGAGGGAGAAGGAAAGAGAATAGAAGAGGAGGAAGACGGGAGAGGATATTTTTGTCTTTTTAAATGGTTTTAACTTTGTTAATTTAATTTAATATATAAGTATTTTTTTTATATGTTCCAATTTATTTTTCATTATTATTTAAAAAATAATAAAAAATTAAGATTATATAAAATAAAAAGAATGATAATAAAAATTTTAAATATCCTTAATTTATTAAGATAAAAAATAATATACTAAAAATATTTTATTACTTTAATAGACAATCCTAATATTTTGAATGTTAATATCTTTAATTTTCACTTTTATCATAATTTAAAGCCTTAATTAATTTAAACAAAGTAACAAAAAAAAATTGTTAAGGATTAGAAACTTACCCGAACGAAGCGTCTCTCGTCATTCTGAATCTTTTGATCTGATGGAGAATAGAGATCCTACATTTTTCGAGAACACAACATCTACGAGAAGAAGAGGCACGAAAATTAACCAAAGCGTGCTAGCACGGTGCAACCTAAAGTGTTCTCCCCTTTTTCAAGATTTCCTCATTCAGCTCCTCCAAACACCTAGAAGAAGGTTAATATGGGTCGGTAGGAGAAAGGGAAAAACTTGTATATCTCTTGTGAAGAGGAGCACCTGCTTTTATAGCCCTATGGTACACTTTCTTTTCCAATTTGAACTATGATTCCTCTTTTCTTCCTTGAGTACTACTCCTTGTATTTTATTCCAATGTATAGAATTCTAATCTAAAAAGAGTCAAATTACCAAGGGACTCATATTTTCTAAGGACTTGTGTTGATATATATATATATATATATATTATAATGTCTATTAATTTATTAAAAAAAGTATATATCAGTTTTGATTTTTAAAATAAATTAAAGTATTAATTTTAAATTAAATCATTTTATTTAATTAAAATTTAATTTAAAATTTAAAAATTTATCTTATTAAATATTAATATTTAAATATAAAAACTAATTATATTAAAATATATAATTATTTTTTAAATTTAAATATCAATATTGAATAGGGTTGATTTTTAAATTTTAAATTAAAATTTTGATTTTTAAATATATGATGAAACTCTAATTTTTGTTAGAGGCCAAATAAACATGTACTAATCTCTAATTTATTAATCTAACTAAAATATTGACAATATATTTTTTGGCTAAATAATAGAAGGGATCAATGTTACAGATAGAATAAAATTGCATTCAGACAACAAGCAAGTCATCAATAACTTTAACTTTTCTTTTTCGTGAGAGCTTCAAGTTCACTTACTACTACTTTTCTTTAGCAAGTGTTTCACAACATTTTTTCTATTATTTATATGGAGAATTCTTTTTAAGGTACACAGTTTTTGATTCAAAGTATAGGTTGCTCCTCAACCTTGTAGTCCCTGGATTTTAGTTGTTGACCGAATACTGCAGCTTCATTTGAGAATTTTGGAATGTAGCTAACTATAATTGTAACTATAGCTGTAGCTATGGTTATAGGTGTTTTAATCTTTTAATATCACAAAAATTTATAAAGTATATTAAATATATTTAATATTTATTTTAATTAATATTTTATATAATTTTAATATAATAAAAAGACAAAATTAAGAATTAAAAGCCAAAGCACTAAAAAAACATTGTAAATGAAGCATCATTTTAATTAGGAGTTGCCCCTCAAATTAGGCACCGTTATTTTCATTCTATCAAAACTTATTATAAATTAAAAATAAAGTAAAAAAATCATTGTATGTAACAAATATTCAAATATAACACAATATAAACTGTATCATACATATCTATTATATGTAATGGAATCTCTAGCAATTCTAATTAATATGAAACTAAAAATTTACCCTCCATAACATTTCTCCTTTTCCTTTCTTTTCCCATTTCTAATTTTTTCTTGTCCTCTCTTAGAATTTGGAAGGTGAATTATAAATTTTAAAGATTTTTGTCATCATTTTGCTCAAAATTTGAATTCACAATTGATTGACCTGTTGTCTTGAACATCTATCCTAAGTATATTTACTTTTTTTTTTTTTTTTGAGTAAATAAAGAAAAGAGCTAACCATTTTTTAAATAAAAAAATTCAACTTTCAACTTGTATTGTTTTATATTATACAAAAGTAAAGGAACCATAAAATTACAAAATAAAGTATTTTGACAAACTTTCAATTCAAAAAAAAAAAAAAAAAGTAGCAAACAGTTTTTCTCAGCATGTCTGACTTAAGAAATAAATCAACTCATTCAAAATTTTCTTTAACAAATCAGCACAAAACTAAATCTTAAAACACAGCATGATAGACAAAACATGCCTGTTGCATAGACAAAACTAAATTGCGCTGGTAAAAGCAAAAAATTCCAGAGACAAAAAAAAAAAAAGAAAAAAAAAGAATTGCAAAAATTTTCATGTAAAGACTGAAAATTTAAAGATTACAAAAGAATAAAATTATAAACAAAATTGAACCAAGAAAGAACGTAGAAAAAAAAATCAATTTAGCCAGAGAAGAATTATATATAGCAGACTTCGAGAAAAATAGGGCATATATGATGGGGGAAAAAACGATGAGTTTTGGAGAATTTGGGGTTGAATTGGGCTTTTGGACTAGATGGTTATGGGCTGTTGACATGGGCTTTAAACGTAAATGGGCTGGGCTTCAGGTTTTGAGTGCCCTTTTTTTGTGATTTAATCCCCAACTTTTAATTTCTTCAATTGAGTCCTTTTCTTGAATTTCCTTTATTTCTTCAGCAAATTTTCTCTTTTTGCATGTAGAACCTGAAACAGAACAAAGATTAACTTAGTTAACAATAAAATGTTCTATATTTTTTATATTTTTTTCGCATTTTGTAATTTTTAATGTTTTTCTTGATTAATTTTAAGATTTTATATTTTTATGAAAAACCTAAATAAACTAAATGAAGAATCTGATTATGATATGAATTAGTTCCCTAATTTCCCTCTCCTTGCCACTCCTTCCAAGGACCTTGATATTGTGTGATAAGATCTTCATTTTGAACTGACAATCTCCTCCTTTTTAGTCCTAATTCTCTATTTCTTCCTTGCCATAGCAATTTTGTCCCTCTTCTCCATTTCATCAAGCCATTTGATGATTTCCATCTCGTTTCTGCATCGTTCCAATCCCAACTGTTTGCCTACTTCCCATAGCTCAAATGCTTCTTCCTCCTAAGGTGTTTTTCAAAAACCTTTTGTTGTAATTTCCAATTGCCCTGCCCAAATTGACTTGTCCTTTGGCAAGATATTTGGTGTAAGTTCTATGGTCACCTTTGTTTTCCTTGACTTCTTTACAAGTGATTTGTCATAACCAATTGTGGCTCCTCTATCCCTCTTTATCATGCTAACTTTTCTTTTCTTCTTTTTTGAACTTCTTTGATTATTTGCCTCTTGAACCTGAGAAAGCTCATCCTTGCGTACTAAGAGCATGTTTAGTAAAACTTGTAAGTGCTTCAGCTTTTTAATACTATTCATGTTTTATAAGTTTAAACTTCCTTTTTAAAAACTTACATTTTTTAACTTCTTTTTAACCTTAAAAATACTTTAAACAATAAGTTATGAAAAATTTCAGACTTTTGATTTTTATAAACTTCTTTTTTACTCACTTCTGATTCACTTTTTACTATTCCTAAAAGCAACTTTTAAATTTTTCTTCCAATAAAAATTTAAACTTATGACTCATAAACAGTACTAAAAAAGTAAAATCTACAAGAAGCTCCACCAAGCAAGCCCTAAGCCCTCCCAAAAAGAACAAGATTCCTCCTCCACATCAATCAAACTTTTTCAACCAAAGTTTAGTAGCTTCCCTTGTCTCATTTTTTGTTTTCTTTTGCTATTTATCACCCCATTAGATTGCATTCCAATTAAATCTTGAGCCCTATATTCAATTTCCAAGTCCATGTGGTCCGTCCTCAAATCCCCATTTATATACACCTTTCCTAATAAAGCCCAACCCCTTGTTTACTTTAATTAGGCTTGTGCCTGGGCCTAACAAGTCACTTGGCGATGAAAGCCCAATTTGCTAAAACCCATAATTCAAACGTTCCTGATACTCATTGGATTTAGTTTAGCTACCATTACTTCCCACTACCTAACTAACCAATTTACTAGTTGGACTCCGCACCCTAAGGCTTCCTAGTATTCCTTTTCCATGCTTCTTCATGTTTTCCATTTCTCCATCAACCTCAACTACAAAAAAAGTTGTTATTCAAACTTTGGTGGTTGGCACCAAGTTCTTTCTCAAATCTCGCACATGTATCAAATACCTTTCACTCCCTTCATTGATCCACCGTTGCTAACACTATCATACCTTGATTTTGTCTGGGTATAGTTTGCAAAATTTGTAATTAATTCCCAATAAATGATATTTTCCAAAGCAATTGATTTTCAAAAACCTTCAAATACAAATTTTAAATCAATCTATGATAATTAGTATATTGAAGAAATTTCGATGCTTTATATATTATTCATTCAAAACTTTGAAAGTTATGTTTAAAATGGGAATTAATTTAAATTTTTCCTTTTGCCTTTTAATCATCATATCTAAAGAAGTTTTAATTGTCTTTTAGGGACCAAAGTGAGAAAAAATTGGAGATGCAGGACCAACTTGTCAAAGAAAAAGAGACAAATTGCGAACAAATGGACTTGAGAACCAAATCGTCAAAATCACAAAAGTTGAAGGACAAGATTTATTCCCTCGCTTAATTAAACAACGTCGTTTTTTTGCTGAGCCCTAAATCTAATTAAAAGCCATCGGGTCTTCTTCCTCCCTTAAGTTGTGATTTGCAGGGGGCCTAAGGATTTCATCCCAAATCCAAATTAATCAAAGCAGATTGCCATGGGAAGGCCGATTCAGGAGAAGGTAGCGTCTGCGACGTGGCCGTACCTCACTTGCTAGTACCAAAGCCAGCTGTAGGAGACTCGCGTCCTGTCCAACGAAGCACTGTACCTTGGCAAGGCCGTTAGCAATCGATGGCTGAAAAGGAAAGAAATTATCTGACGGTGGAGCAGATGAGCCCACTTCGTCTATAAAAGTCATGGTAGCCCGTGGTGCAAAGGGGGAGGAGGGGGCCTGTGAGAAATCAGGGGAAACCGTGAAATTGAGGAAAAGAGAGTGAAATCTGGGAAAAATCGAGAGAAATTTGTAAAATTTGGGTTTCTAAATTCGGGTAAATCGAAGAACAATCCTTCATTGTCTCCAAATATGGTATCTTTGACGTTGATTTGTGAATTTTATGACGTAATTTAGAGAGAGTGCATAATTGTGGTTGCGAACCCATCTGAAATTGCTTGATACTGTGACCCTATTTTCCCAATTTTGCATTGCCATCTAGTCTCCTTGGAAGCAATTCAACTGTGAGTAACTTGGATTCTAGACGGTATGACATTCTTCATTTTCTACTTTGCTTCTCCAAATTTTTCTATCATCATTCTGTCTTGTGATGGAATGGGAGTATCAAGATTTAAATCTTGCACTTCTAAATACCCTCAGGTTTCGTAAAAGAGTTGTGGTGATTAGGCTAACGGTGGGTAGTGTTGGCGATGCATTCTGCATTATGGAATCTAAATCTATTAAAATTGAATCCAATCCACTTGCTATGGTCTGGTTTCAAGGTATTAATTTAAAATTTAATGTAATTTAAACCAAAATTATTTAGATCTAATTGAATTACTATTTATTATATTATTAGAGCAAATATTAATTTAGCAAATTTTTTTACCAAATAACTATTTCTTTTGTCTATTTTTAATAAATCTAATTTAATTTTTTGATTTTTAAGAAATAAATTTTATATGAAATAAATTATATTTTAATTGTTATTAATATGATATGTTAAATTTTTATTTAAAATTTATGTTTAAAAAATTAAAAAGTCAAACTAAGTTTATTAAAAATAAACAAATGAGTAATTAATATTATATTTTTTAAAGAAAAATAAAAAAATATTGAAAAATTTTAATTTTAATTTTTTCAAAAAGTTAGAGCTAATTAAATCAATCCAAAATCTATGTGGGTGGCTCACAACTCTACTTTTTTAATCTAAAATCTAAAACAACTTAATTTAATAAATTCAAAATTTGAGATACACAATCTGAATTCATATGATCCAACCTGAGTGCTAGGTTTATTGGAATGCATCTTCATAAGCACCATAAATGTGATTTATGTCGCCAGTCATTTAGAGTCATACCTCAAACCTGGTTAGACCCAATGAGAATTAAGAGAACATGAATCTGTGATATTGATCTCTTGCATCCGGTTTTTCACTAAGAATGTATGAGAGGCATGAAGCCTCTGATTTAAGTGGATTTTGATCCTGTGGAAAATCTCCTTTGATTCACCACCATTCTTTTGGGCATGATATTGAAAATGTTTTCTCAGAGTTGTGTTGTGCTAGTTTTTTTTGTTCTTTGACTGCTCAAATGTTCAATTCTTATTATTTATTTATTTATTTACATTTCTTTACATTCATTTTGTTCAGCCTTGATCACATTCCTTGCTTTTTTTTCCCTCCTACGCTTAATGAGATTTTTCACCTATAAAGGACATCACTGTTAAAAAAAATTTTAATTAAGGATTTCAAACTAACCAAGTCTACTAGGTTTTAAAAGTTTCTAATCAATGATATCATCTTTTTGATTTTATTATTTAAGGATTAATGAGATGTCAAGTTGGTAGACGAATTCCATTTATGGGATCCATCTAAATTGCTAATGTGTCAAAAAATATGAAAAGTGGCTGCTGAGTTGGATAATTAATTTGGATTTGGAAAATGTAACAAAGTGCCAACAAAACAATGCTGGTATCCATACAACTTGTCATGCCCTAAATTGAATCTTTTGAAAATTAAGACACGTGAAAATATTCTAGAAGAGTTCTCTCAAGACTCTTCTCTCAATATTAGATAGATTAAATTCTACTAAAACTAAGATATCCAATACCAACCCAACTAGAATTGTAATATTAGGATGATTCTATACAATATTCTATAAATACTTTAGTACTAAACTTTAAAAGGGAATTATTTTTCTTCATTCTCTCTATTATAAACTCTCTTCATCTTTGGTCAATAAAATACTTAGTTTAACACAATCTCTTATATTTTTTAAAGTTAGCACTACTTAATCAAATTTCAAACTTTGGTACCCAACTCGTGTCGGGTTTTTTAATATTTTTGTAATTTATTCAACGGTAAAAAAGCACATATGTGTGCTTCCTTTTCTACTTTATAAATACTTTGGTACTTAATCTTTAAATTCATTCATTTAGGTCCATGTTTGGAACTTTTCTTCTCATAGTGTAATCCCTCAACTTTCATAAAATTTTTATTTAAGTCCCAAAATTTATTTTTTTGCAATTCAAGTTCTTTTCTAATAAATAATGAAATTATATAAAATCTAGGTTAAAATACCATTTGGGTCCCTCAACTTTTCACTTTGGCACTAAAATTGTCTTTCAACTTTAAAAAGTACCAAAATTATCCTTAAACTTTCATTTTCGGTACCAAAATAGTCTTTCCGTCAATTAAATGCACAGGTGGCATGTTAAGATGCCACAAAATCACTAGCTTTTTAAAATTTTAATGACGTGTATATCCAACAAAGAAAATATTGTTACCATGCCATTTTTTTACACATCAGATTATCGTCTTCTCAATTTCTCCTTTTAGTGGAGCCCACATGAAAATTTGTTTTCTCTTTTTCCAGTTTCAATCAAGTTCCCCAAAAATCACAGTTTTCTTCTTTTCTCTTTTCATTTCCTTTTCAAATTCAAAACCCTAAACCTACTACTTTTGCAAAATTAAAATCAAAATTAGATCATCCTTCTTTTTTCTTCTTCTTAGTCTTTCTCTCTTTCTCTTCTCCCTTATTCCTCTCCAGATCTAGGTTTTCTCAGGCTT